CCACACACCCAACAGTATTAACAAAAAAATACATTTTATAGAGAATAACTATAACTACAGAAAACAATGAAAAATAATATATAGGACTAATGAAATGGATAAATGAACATTTAATATCACTTTTACCTTTATGGAAGACGGGAGGAGGAGCGGTTATTGGCTGGAAGGGGAATCCCCCTCCATAAGGACTTCAGGTATCAAGTCCCTATCTGGGGTTACTTCCCTTCTTTGTCTTTAACTGGCACTAGACCCCTGTCACACAAAAAGTCTGTCCAGAGAGGTCTGTTTCTGGCATCTCTTTAAGATTTTCCTAAAATGGGACAAGGCATTGTCACTGAACATATTGAAGACATGGCTTGCACCAGCTTTGTTAGGGTGATATTTCTCCACAAAACTTTGCAACCCACTCCACATTGCACATGTGTCCTTAATCACTGAAGAAGGCACTGATCATTGATGAGGAGTTTCCATACATCCTGGCGAGATCGACCACACATACGTGTGGCCACTTTTGTACATACTTTGCTACAAGTTTTTCCTTGAATTCTATCGTGTTTCTCACCTTTTTTATCAAAAGGCTGGCACTCAGAACTTTCTTTGGCCCCATGGTGGCTTATTGAGCAGTCACACTCAATAAACAAGCACAAAAAAAAAAAACGGATTATTAAGAAATGTTTTGGATGAACGCGTAGGGTAATGCTCACTCGACGAGAAACAAAGCCAGACCGACTCAAAATACGTGGAATGTTTTGTGTGGGCGCGGGAAGGCGGACGTGTTCAGTACAGAGGACCGATGAAAACCTAGATGGTGAACAAAAACTGGGACAAAATTTTGATGAAAAAAAGTCGCCGAAAACTGAATTCAACGAAAACCAAGGTTCCACTGTATTTATGAAGGGACTTGGTTAGCCGGACCCGAGGCCTGGAAGTAGGAAATACAGAGCCCACACTGTGAAGGAGGAGTAAAGATATAGCAGTTCAGAGGGCAATTTAACTCCAGTGTCAATGGGCTTCTAACATGACAGTGGTTAAATGAATGATGGTGAATACTTTTCCTCATTTTTGGATAACCCAACTACGTGGGAGATGGCTCTTATGACAAAAAAAAAAAAAAAACCAGAAGACATTTACACAAGAATATTAAATAGCAATGTACATTTAAATAATACCTACATATATAAATGTCAGATTGTTATAGAAATAAAAAATAAAAGATTTTAATAGATTTTTACACTTGCATCTATAAAACAATGTTTCTGGCAGGTGCTGCTTTCTATAAATCAACAAAGCCAAATATCTGAAAATGTTTTTATAGTACATTTCAGTTTTCTGACATTGCTCCATTTTTCATGCAGCAGTAACTTATTAACAAGTTAAGGATTTGCCAAATTTTCTAACACAAGCATTTTTTTTTAATATTCACCTAAGATATCCCTCAGGGAAGGTTTCTTGATGTCAGTGCAAGGCTCTTAATGCAAAGAATTGCTCCTGCCTTCCTCTGCCTTGGATCAAACCTGATTGCCCCTATTCCTGCAGGTGCTATTTGACCTCTATGGGTTTAGCTCTTCCCCCTAATAAAAAAAAAAAAAATTGAGAAGGAATTCAGGGAATCTGGTTATCTGAACTCTTGAATCTTGGAGGTGGGAAGTACAGTGCCTACACTCAGGGGTAAGGATAATTGCAGTTTGGAGGGGTATCTGAACTGTAGTATCTGCATGCTTCTGGCAAGACAGTAATAGAGTGAATGATGGTGAAAGTGTTTCCTTTTTGGATCACCCTGCCTCATTGGGAGACAGCCAGTGTTAAAAAAAAAAAAAAAAAGGATATAATATAAATAAAGTTTTGATACACTGTTTGGAGATAATTTATTACTGTTTGTGACTTTTAATGTGTATGCATTTGAATCTTTTTTTTATGACCTTAGCTTTAGTAGAGTTGACCCCTGATAAACATGGAGATTACATTTGCTGAAAAGTAAGTGCTTTGGTCACATTAACTTTAAATAAAGTGAAAAACTTAAGGAAAAAGGATCAATACATTCAGTGGAAATCAAAAGAAGATAATGACAATTTGTTGAAAATACCTTTAAAACTATAGTAGTAGGTTGGTAGACAGCACCCGCCCAGGGAGGTACTACCGCCCTGCCAAGCGAGTGCAAAACAAAAGCTTGTAATTATTTTACATGATGGTAGGATTGCTGGTGTCCTTTTTTCTGTTTCATAAACATGCAAGATTTCAGGTACGTCTTGCTACTTCTACTTACACTTAGGTCACACTACACATACATGTACAAGCATATATACATACATACTCCTCTGGGTTTTCTTCTATTTTCTTTCTAGTTCTTGTTCTTGTCTATTGCCTCTTATCTCCATGGGGAAGTGGAACAGAATTCTTCCTCCGTAAGCCATGCGTGTTGTAAGAGGCGACTAAAATGCCGGGAGCAAGGGGCTAGTAACCCCTTCTCCTGTGTATATTACTAAATTCAAAAGGCGAGACTTTCGTTTTTCCTTTTGGGCCACCCTACCTCAGTGGGATACAGCTGGTGCGTTGAAAGAAAGAAGACCTTTAAAACTCAAAAGAAACAACTTTAGTCTTACCTTTAATTCTGGTTGTTATAGCTTGTTCATATACAAGTATGTAAACAGTGTTCATGTAGCCCTGTACAATACTTCTATCTGTTGTTCCCATTCACCTAGTAAAAAGTAGGTACCAGGTGCTAACCAACAGTAACTTTCCTGAGTTAACCTGGATTCTAACCCTTCAAGTTAATAATCCCCCCAAAATTATCTGCACTTGACACTGATAAAGAGAAGTCATGCCCTGTATGTGTACAGTCATTGACAGGCTTCACTCTCCTGGGTGAAGCCTGTCAATGACTCGGCTGAGTGTCAACTGGAATAATAGAAGGTATAGGAATACCCACATACTGAACTTAATAATGACACACAAGCAGCAATTGGAAGCTTTGTTAAGACTACACTTTGCCTGCTGTGAAGGTGAAACATAGTCTTAATAATAAGTTTCCATTTGCTGTGTTTGAATTTTATCACTACAACCTGAGTGTGTATTTCATCCACAGAAAATGAGCATAGCATCCCTTGCAGAGAAAGTGGGCAGGATTGAAATGGTGTAAGATAAGGCAATTCTAAAACCACTCAGGAACCAACAACAGCGACACAGTCCCAATCATGGTGTACATTCACTACACACGTTCATTCAAAATAAGATAAAAGCCCACAAGAATTTTACCTTACCTTCAACTCCTTATTTCTCCTGCTTGTTGCACAACAGTGGATGGAGATGGCTTATGTGGCTATCAGGCTGAGGTGGATAGCTGTAGTATGTCTGTTGATGTTGATGGAGAATTGTGAGAAGCTACTGGTTGTACTGGGGGTAGTAAAGAATTCTGTACTTTGCCTCAGCTGTTTTACCCACCAGTTCTTTATACAGCTGATATGGCTTCATTAGCTGTTCCAGACCCAACTGCAGAAGAAGTCAGTCTCTAGATATGTCAGGGTCATTTTCCGGAAGAGAAGTCTACAGGTTTAGCAGCCCATTGGCATGGATGGGAAATTTCCTACTGCAAGCCCACCAACAGTTACCCATGTCTAGGAGAAGTACAAGTGTAAATTGAAGAGATAGTTTTTAATCACATTTTGCTAAATTGGTGATAGCTGGGGATGCATTATCCAAGGGTGTATTGTATTACACAAACCCATCAGTGTTGCATAATATGAAATGTAATTCTGATCAGTCATAAGCCAAGGATTGTAAGTCCAAACATAACTTTTTTACCCAGACTCGTCAATAAATCAACTTGGCTTTACCGTAAATTCTCAAAAAGCTATCTTCATGGTCACTAATTGAATATGATATCCGTATCCCCTTAGCTTTAGAAAAATATTTGCCTTGATGAATACTTTAATTAATTTATTTCTAAAAAATTGTGCTGTTGGAATATGAGAAAAGTAACAGTTCTGGAAGGTGGAAAGTACAGTGCCTACATTCTGAGGGAAGGATGAGGAGATTGTAGTTTAAAGGGTCATTTAAACTGCCATGTCTATGTACTTCTAGCAAGACAGCTATTGAACTGGTGATGGTGAATGTTTTTCTTTTTTGGGTTAACCTACCTTGGTGGGAGACAGCTGGTGGTTAAAAAAAAAAAAAAAAAAAAAAAAAAAAAATATTCAAGAAAGCAAGAGAGTCACATTTAGAATCACCCTGGCTATCACCTTCATTTATTTTTTTCAAATTAAAATAATTATTTTCCTTTTAAGTAAATTGTAAAAATATGCAATGCAATATATTAGACACGCATTACAAGAAAGAACGTTGTGCAAGAATGGTATATAATACCGACAAGATGAAATTAAGACACATGTGCAACATCTGGGTATCTTTATTGTAAACGTTTTGCCATCCAGTGGCTTTATCAATACAAATTCTAGGACATAACTTGAAGACAGTAAGACTATGTACAGAAGATGAGGTAATCAGTCCCTCAACCTAGGAGTAGGTGCGAAGAGCACCGTAGTCGTGGAGATTCTTACTGTCTTCAAGTTACGTCCTAGAATTTGTATTGATAAAGCCACTGGATGGCAAAAGTCTACAATAAAGATACCCAGATGTTGCACATGTGTCTTAATTTCAAGAAAGAACGCAAGGAAATGCCTTACGGGTGACTTAGCAAAGACCTGTGGCAGTGCACTGCAGGTCTTGTGTATAGTGAATTACTAGCAACCAGTGGCAGCGCAATGTGATTGTGTGCAGTGACTTAGCAATGACCAGTGGCAGTGCACTATTGGTAATGAGTGGAGATTTAACCCCCTTCAGTGTTGGGATTCTAGATATAAAAACTGCTCTATGTCTAGTTTAAAAAAAAAAAAAAAAAAAAAAAATCTTCTGAAATGGTAGAGATTTTTTTTCTGAATATAATGATACTAAAAGTATGAAAGTTGATAAAAAAAAAATACCTCAGGGAATCACACAGGTGTAAAGATAGTCTGGGTGCAATTTATTCAACAGCAATTTTGCCTAAATAGGATCCTATTTTAAGTCAATTGCATTGCTCAATTCAATTAAATTCTTAGCTGTTTCACTAGTATGCCTTCTGTTCTATCAATTGAGGACAAGAAACTGCCCATTCACCCATCAGAACTACCCAGTGAAATGCACAGAAGTCAGTAATTTGACCAATTTTACACAATTCAATAAAAATTCCAATTTAAAAACAGAGTTTAGGATAAACACTGTAGACATTCCAGGCACTAAAACATTTCCTTTGTTCACTAATCACATCCCCAGGCCTCTTCTATGTTACACATGCTTTCCATTCTGAGTTCATCATCACAAAAAATTCAAGATTTACCCTATTTCTCAGATAATAAAATATAACCAGAAATGATTGGACATGGTTTATGAGATCCCAATAATTGAATCAGACCAAGTAAAATCTAGTAAAACAGACCTGGGAGTGTAAGAAGGGTCTTACATATCCTCAGGAAAATCAGCAAAATTGAATTATTCCACTAACTTGACCCCAATTTCAAGCTACTTCCAGTCCTGAAACCAACCAAAATCATCTTTATTTCAGCAGTATATCTTCCATTCTATCAAATGATACCAAGAAACAACTAGAAAACCATGCAAACAATTCTATAAAACACCTCAAAATCGTTATGTTAAACCAAGCACAAAGTAAGTTTTGCTTTTCCCATCATACACCACGTGGGGCAGAAGTTTTTTTTATACTCATTGCACAAACCTATTCTCTCATATCTAAGCTAAAATTTTCTGCTCACAGCTTATCTGAGGGAGCTGAGCTTAAAACATAGATCTATGCGAGGGACTCAAGTGTCAATGACGTAGATCTACATGAGGGACCCTGGTGTCAATGACATAGATCTACATGAGGGACCCTGGTGCCAATGACGTAGATCTACATGAGGGACCCTGGTGTCAATGGCGTAGATCTGCACGAGGGACCCTGGTGCCGATGACGTAGATCTACATCAGGGACCCTGGTGCCGATGACGTAGATCTACATCAGGGACCCTGGTGCCAATGACGCAGATCTACATCAGGGACCCTGGTGTCAATGGCGTAGATCTGCATCAGGGACCCTGGTGCCAATGACGTAGATCTACATCAGGGACCCTGGTGCCAATGACGTAGATCTACATCAGGGACCCTGGTGCCAATGACGTAGATCTACATCAGGGACCCTGGTGTCGATGGCGTAGATCTACATGAGGGACCCTGGCGTCAATGGCGTAGATCTACATGAGGGATCCTGGTGCCAATGACGTAGATCTACATGAGGGACCCTGGTGTCAATGATGTAGATCTACATGAGGGACTCTGGTGCCAATGACGTAGATCTACATGAGGGACCCTGGTGTCAATGGCGTAGATCTACATGAGGGACCCAGGTGTCAATGATGTAGATCCCCACAAGGGACCCTGGTGTCAATGATGTAGATCCACATGAGAGACCCTGATGTAAATGACATAGATCTACACGAGGGTCCCTGGTGTCAATGATGTAGATCCCCACAAGGGACCCTGGTGTCAATGATGTAGATCCACATGAGAGACCCTGATGTAAATGACATAGATCTACACGAGGGTCCTTGGTGTCAATGACATAGATCTACATGAGGAACCCTGGTGTCAATGACGTAGATCTATGTGAGGTAACCCTGGTGTCAGTGATGTATATCTATACGAGGGGACCCTGGTATCAGTGACAGAGGTCTTCGTGAGGGGACCCTGGTGTCAGTGATGTAGATCTACATGAGGGACCCTGGTGCCAATGACGTAGATCTACAGGAGGGACCCTGGTGTCAATGGCGTAGATCTACATGAGGGACCCAGGTGTCAATGATGTAGATCCCCACAAGGGACCCTGGTGTCAATGATGTAGATCCACATGAGAGACCCTGGTGTCAACGATGTAGATCCACATGAGAGACCCTGATGTCAATGACATAGATCTACACGAGGGTCCCTGGTGTCAATGACATAGATCTACGTGAGGAACCCTGGTGTCAATGACGTAGATCTATGTGAGGGAACCCTGGTGTCAGTGACAGAGATCTTTGTGAGGGGACCCTGGTGTCAGTGATGTGTATCTATACGAGGGGACCCTGGTGTCAGTGACAGAGGTCTTCATGAGGGGACCTGTATCAGTGATGTAGATCTACATGAGGGACCCTGGTGCCAATGACGTAGATCTACATCAGGGACCCTGGTGTCAATGGCGTAGATCTACATGAGGGACCCAGGTGTCAATGATGTAGATCCACATGAAAGACCCTGATGTAAATGACATAGATCTACACGAGGGTCCCTGGTGTCAATGATGTAGATCCCCACAAGGGACCCTGGTGTCAATGATGTAGATCCATGTGAGAGACCCTGATGTAAATGACATAGATTTACACGAGGGTCCCTGGTGTCAATGACATAGATCTACGTGAGGAACCCTGGTGTCAATGACGTAGATCTATGTGAGGGAACCCTGGTGTCAGTGATGTATATCTATACGAGGGGACCCTGGTGTCAGTGACAGAGGTCTTCGCGAGGGGACCCTGGTGTCAGTGATGTATATCTATACAAGGGGACCCTGGTGTCAGTGTCAGTGATGTATATCTATACAAGGGGACCCTTGTGTCAGTGACGTAGATCTGTGTGAGGGGACCCTGGTGTCAGTGACATAGATCTACATGAGGGGACCTTGGTGTCAGTGACATAGATCTACACGAGGGACCCTGATGTCAATAATGTAGATCTACATGAGGGACCCTGGTGTCAATGACATAGATCTACACGAAGGACCCTGGTGTCAATGACGTAGATCTACACAAGGGTCCCTAGTGTCAATGACATAGATCTATGTGAAGAACCCTGGTGTCAATGATGTAGACCTAAGTGAGGGACACTGGTGTCAATGACATAGATGTATGTGAGGGGACCCTGGTGTCAGTGACGTAGATCTTTGTGAGGGGACCCTGGTGTCAGTGATGTAGATCTATGTGACGGGGCACCCTGGTGTCAGTGATCGAGGAGACCCTGGTGTCAGTGACGTATATCTATGTGAGGGGGACCCTGGTGTCAGTGGCGTATATCTATACGAGGGGACCCTGGTGTCAGTGACGTATATCTATGTGAGGGGACCCTGGTATCAATGACGTATATCTATACGAGGGGACCCTGGTGTCAGTGATTGAGGGGACCCTGTTGTCAGTGACGTAGATCTATATGAGGGGACCCCTGGTGTCAGTGACAAAGATCTATGTGAGGGGACCCTGGTGTCAGTGACATAGATCTATGTGAGGGGGAGACCCTGGTGTCAGTGATCGAGGGGACCCTGGTGTCAGTGACGTAGATCTATGTGAGGGGGGACCCTGGTGTCAATGACGTAGATCTATGTGAGGGGGGACCCTGGTGTCAGTGATCGAGGGGACCCTGGTGTCAATGACATAGATCTATGTGAGGGGGACCCTGGTGTCAGTGATCGAGGGGACCCTGGTGTCAGTGACGCAGATCTATGTGAGGGACCCTGGTGTCAGTGACGTAGATCTATGTGAGGGGACCCTGGTGTCAATGATGTATATCTATACGAGGGGACCCTGGTGTCAGTGATGTAGATCTATGTGAGGGGACCCCTGGTGTCAGCAACGTATATCTATACGAGGGGACCCTGGTGTCAGTGACGTAGATCTATGTGAGGGGACCCCTGGTGCCAGTGACAAAGATCTATGTGAGGGGACCCTGGTGTCAGTGATGTAGATCTATGTGAGGGGACCCTGGTGTCAGTGACGTAGATCTATGTGAGGGGACCCCTGGTGTCAGTAATGTAGATCTATGTGAGGGGACCCTGGTGTCTGTGATGCAGATCTATGTAAAGGACACTGGTGTCAATGACATAGATCTATCTGAAGGACAGTGAAAGTGTTAAGAACAATCTGTGGCAGCATACCGCACATGTTGCGTGCAATGACTTATCAAATGTTATACTGGCATGACAATTACTTGCTCTGAAATGTATTTTTTCACAGTTACATTTGGAATTTGGAATATTCACATTTATTTCTCTTGCTAATTGTACTGTATTACTTTAATAAAATGCTTCATATAAAATAATGATAATTGAAAAGATTATACGTATTTTCTTGGATTTTTCATTAATGTCCACAACAAATGAATTAAAGACATTGTCTTATGCAGAAGGGGTAACCTTCATCATTCTGCCAAAACAAATAATGTTACAAAATTATATGAATTATCATATGAAACTGGTTTTGAAGCATAATTGTCTATATTTAGCATATTTGAATGTTTTTAATTAAAGAGAGAGAGAAAGAGAGAGAGAGAGAGAGAGAGAGAAAGAGACAATCTAACATTTTAATGAAATAAAACATTTTAACAAGAATGAAACACAATAAAAATAAAACTCTACTTCAAGTACTTGTGTACATGGGACAGTACAATACAGGACAGTATAAGCCTCTGCCACATTGCTACATATTCTATAGTATTCCTAATTTTTATAATTCTATGCATTTTAATGCCATAGAAAATTTTATTTATACATTTGGGTTATTTACCATATATAATAAAGGAAGATTTGTGGCCAAGAATATACAGTATTATTGTATGCACAATAAAACATATACATATACTGTACTACATTGCATAATTTACCTATGTAATTCCCATGTTGAATAACTCTTTTATTTAAAAGTAACTGAACAATGGTTCCCTTTCATATTTTTTGTAGAAAATATATAAGATTATGTAGACATAATGACAAGACTATGCAAGACAGTCAACAAATGTAATCACCAACCTGGCCCACACAATATGAAACTTGTGTATTTCTACTAACAGCTAAATTTTCTCAGAATTTTTACTATTTAATTGTACAATCACATGAAATACAATTGAAAAAAATTATACTTCTTAAAATGATGATAGTGTGTGGCAGACAATGAGAGAAAGGTACTTGCCGCACCTTAACATTTCTGTCCAATGTTTATGTCCATCTCTCCCTGTGTTTCTTCATACTATATACAAGAATACAAGAATCTGCTTCCAAAAACAGAACCTCTCAGTATAGCTCTACTGTACACAGTTAAAATTAATTTGTGCTTTATAAATAATAAAAAATTTTACAAGAAGCAAACTCCTTTTTAAATAAAATTTACAAATTGTGTAAACTAAAATATGAAGTTAAAATGAGACTCTGTAACTTCTTTGTACATTTTAGAACAATAAGCACATACATACAGAGAAAATCCTTAAATAGATTTGTATTCCTCCAACAACTTGAGATATTCACTTATATCACCGGTTGCTCCAGGTGCAGATAACTTTATGAAACCGTGCACTGGGCAAATTCTTTTATACAACACATCACTGGGTTCATCTCCCTAACAAACATAATGAGAAGCCCAGGTACTGTAGTGCAAACAAATTAACTTTCTGTAAAATTACAATTCAACAGTTTTATCTGCAAAAATTTTGAAAGCTTAGGTGAATTAAAAATTATTTATAAACTTTCACACATTAAAAAAAAAAGATGCATATAGTGAGAATATGAATATTGTTGATGAGGAGTCTGGCCAAATTGTGAGATAGGGGTCACAATGTGAATTATCTACATTACATGGTATCTTCATTCATGCTAGAAATAACATTAATTTCAAAGGACTCTCACTCATTATAGCTAAGCCTTTTCATTTCCACTATACAGTTGAAAACTGCATTTTAAATGTTTTGAAGTGAAGGTACATAAATAATATAAACAGGCGCTTTGAAGACTGTCATTACTGTTCTTCCTATCACTGACTCAACTCAAATTCATGATGTATACATGAATTTGACAAATATAAGAAAAAACCTAAATGATAATCTCACTTTGTGTCTACCTGTTAATCTTTTGTCCCCAATGTTTACAGATACTGTTCATATTAAAACCACAACAAAAAATATAATCATTAAAATACTAAATTTGAAATTTTTAGTACAGTAACCCATACAATAAATTTTCAATACTTAAATGAAAATTTAATTGCAGTGCAGAAACAAGTTGGTCATTTCTAACTCTTTGTATGATAGAAAAAAAAATAAAAAGATATCTAGTACTTATAGATATTCTAATGTAATACTAATTTGTTCTTATGCAACCAGAAAAAATAATTTAACATTTCAAATGAAGTTTTAAGAATAAAATTTAGTGTATACAATTGATAACATTCAAAATATACTTTCTCTTCTTGAATTCACTGACAAATGCTATGAAACTACTCAACCAATCTGTAACATGCATTCACAGGATTTACACTATTATTCTGATACCTCTTGTGTGGAGAACACCCATTACTGCTTCTCAAAGCAGCAGTGGCAACATTGTCCAACAAGAGCAATGTAACTTTTCAGAGGATACTTTGAACTTCTCATGCCTGCTGATCAGATGTTGCTAAACATAATATATACATCTCTGTTCACCATATTCTACACAAGTTTTATTTGTAAAACTGTTCATATCTTGAAGCTATCTCTTAAGTTTAAAGTGCTTTTCAAGCTATTACATTATGCTGTTTTTCATACAAACCTTCTTGCCAACAAATATAGCATCACTTTCAAAATCAATGCAGCCCTTATGAAAGTTTAATCTTTCAATGCCTAGTTCTAACACCTTAGTCTGGGGTCTCATTGGTTCACACATTCACACTATATCACTTAAATACTGTTCTTCCTCATCACTTAGATCATTACTGTATATCAAGATCAGGCACCACTTCTTTCTTATCACTTGAGCCTAACACAAAGTGTACCAGACAGAATTACTGTAGTGTTTTATTGAAAGATTTAGAGTACTTGGACAAAAACACTGTTTTTTCCTTCTAATTACTATTGCTCCTGTCACATCTAAGAATGTACTCCACAACAAGAGTTCTCCCAAGCTTAATCTGGTGGTAAATATGTCTCCAGTTTGTACTTCTCACGAATGAAGGGTCGAACATCATCCTTATCCACAAGTGATTCTAGGAATGGTACAAGCTTCTCCAGCTCCCGATCCTCCTTATCAACAAACCAGCTCTCAATTGGAATTCCGTTGTTGATCTGAAGAAAATTTTTCATAAATGCCCACCTCTCAGAGTATAAGGAATGAAGTCCCCAGAAAGTGATGATGCTAAAGCCTCCTGATGATAGCTTAAATGATGAATGATGATTATTATGATGATAATATAGCTAGCTATAATTATTATTTTCATGTCATACTTCTGGCAAAAGTGAGAGTGATACATGTGTGAAATTAGAACTCAAACCCAGAGTCTTTTACAACTGCAACTCTTGTCACATAGCAGAAGCAAATGTGAAAAAATGAAATTAATCACAAGTACATGTATATGATTTCATATATTCACAATAAAGGGAAAAATCACAAGAAAGAAACCACATTCAACACTCACCTGGTAACCAAATGCTTGGGGAGAATTATCTACAATAATGGTCTTTGAGAGGTCTCTGCCAAGTATTGTCAGATCCTTAACATAGTTGCCCTGAACACATACACAATGCTCACGGAACAGTCGATACCTTTAAAGATAAATTTAAGAAAAATCTGGTATTGTACAGGTATTTAAAACATAACTGAAAGATTTACATTATGTTATTTAAATTATTTAGTGTCGCAATTAAAATACTAACTTTCAAGTCATATTTCAAGATTTATTACCAAACATTAGTTTTTTAATTGGAGATCCTTAATCAACAGGTTCACTGTTTATCATGGTGAATCTTAGCAAAGACAAAAAGTTAAATACAGTACCATGAAAATAAATAAATAAATAAATAAATAAATCATATATATATATATATATTATAGGTAGTAGGTTGGTAGACAGCAACCGCCCAGGGAGGTACTACCGTCCTGCCAAGTGAGTGTAAAACGAAAGCCTGTAATTGTTTTACATGATGGTAGGATTGCTGGTGTCCTTTTTTCTGTCTCATAAACATGCAAGATTTCAGGTACGTCTTGCTACTTCTACTTACACTTAGGTCACACTACACATACATGTACAAGCATATGTATACACACCCCTCTGGGTTTTCTTCTATTTTCTTACTAGCTCTTGTTCTTGTTTATTTCCTCTTATCTCCATGGGGAAGTGGAACAGAATTCTTCCTCCGTAAGCTATGCGTGTTGTAAGAGGCGACTAAAATGCCTGGAGCAAGGGGCTAGTAACCTCTTCTCCTGTATATATTACTAAATGTAAAAGGAGAAACTTTCGTTTTTCCTTTTGGGCCACCCCGCCTCGGTGGGATACGGCCGGTGTGTTGAAAGAAAGAAAGATATATATATATATATATATATATATATATATATATATATATATATATATATAATATATATATATATATATATATATATATATATATATATATATATAATATAATATATATATATATATATATATATAATATAATATATATATATATATATATATATATATAATATATATATATATATTATATATATATATATATATATATATTATATATATATATATATATATATATATTATATATATATATATATATATATATATAATATATATATAAAATATATATAATATATTCAACAAGTTGGTTGTCTCCCACCGAGGCAGGGTGACCCAAAAAAGAAAGAAAATCCCCAAAAAGAAAATACTTTCATCATCATTCAACACTTTCACCACACTCACACATTATCACGGCTTTTGCAGAGGTGCTCAGAATACAACAGCTTAGAAGCATATACGTATAAAGATACACAACATATCCCTCCAAACTGCCAATATCCCAAACCCCTCCTTTAAAGTGCAGGCATTGTACTTCCCATTTCCAGGACTCAAGTCCGACTATATGAAAATAACCGGTTTCCCTGAATCCCTTCACTAAATATTACCCTGCTCACACTCCAACAGATCGTCAGGTCCCAAGTATCATTCGTCTCCATTCACTCCTATCCAACACGCTCATGCACGCTTGCTGGAAGTCCAAGCTCCTCGCCCACAAAACCTCCTTTAACCCCTTTTTTCCAACCCTTTCGAGGACGACCCTATCCTCTTTCCTTCCCCTATAGATTTATATGCTTTCCATGTCATTCTACTTTGATCCATTCTCTTCCTAAATGACCAAACCACCTCAACAACCCCCTCTTCTGCCCTCTGACTATTGCTTTTATTAACTTCACACCTTCTCCTAATTTCCCACACTTCCGAATTTTCGCATAATTTTTTACCCCACACATTGCCCTTTAGACAGGACATCTCCACTGCCTCCAACCATTTCCTCGCTGCTGCATTTACCACCCAAGCTTCTCATCCATAAAAGAGTGTTGGTACTACTATAATTTCATATATTCCCTTCTTTGCCTCCATAGATAACGTTTTTTGACTCCACATATACCTCAACGCACCACTCAAAATTTTTTCCCTCATCAATTCTAGATTAACCTCATCCTTCATAAATCCATCCGCCAACACGTCAAACTCCCAAGTATCTGAAAACATTCACTTCTTCAAACTCCTCCTCCCCAATTTGATATCCAATTTTTCTTTAAACTAAATCATTTGATACCCTCATCACCTTTCTCTTTTCTATGGTCACTTTCAACTTTCTACCTTTACACACATTCTCAAACTCATCCACAACCTTTGCAATTTTTCTTTAGAATCTCCCATAAGCACAGTATCATCAGCAAAACGAAATGTGTCAATTCCCCTTTTGAATTTGATTCCCCATAATTTAATCCCCCCCCTCTCCCCGAACACCCTAGCATTTACTTCTTTACAACCCCATCATAAATATATTAACAACCATGGTGACATTACACATCCCCTGTCTAAGACCTACTTTTACCGGGAAGTATTCTCCCTCTCTTCTACACACCTAACCTGAGCCTCACTATCCTCATAAAAGCTCTTTTCAGCATTTAGTAACTTACCACCTATTCCCTATACTTGCAACATCTGCCACATTGCTCCTCTATCCACTCTATCATATGCCTTTTTTTAAATCCATAATGCAATAAAAAATTCCCTAACTTTATCTAAATACTGTTCACATATATGCTTCAATGTAAACACTTGATCTACACATCCCCTACCCACTCTGAAGCCTCCTTGCTCATCCGCGATCCTACATTCTGTCTTACCTCTAATTCTTTCAATTATAACCCTACCGTATACTTTTCCTGGTATACTCAGTAAACTTATTCCTCTATAATTTTTACAATCTCTTTTGTCCCCCTTCCCTTCATATAAAGGGACTACACATGCTCTCCGCCAATTCCTAGGTACCTTCCCCTCTTTTATACATTTATTAAACAAAAGTACCAACCACTCCAACACTATATCCCCCCCTGCTTTTAACATTTCTGTCATGATCCCATCAGTTCCAGCTGCTTTACCCCCTTTCATTCTACGTAATGCCTCACGTACCTCCACCACACTTACATTCTGCTCTTCTTCACTCCTAAAAGATGGTATACCTCCCTGGCCAGTGCATGAAATTACCGCCTCCTTTTCTTCCTCAACATTTAAAAGTTCCTCAAAATATTCTCACCATCTACCTAATACCTCCCTCTCCCCATCTACTAACTCCCCTACTCTGTTTTTAACTGAAAAATCCATACTTTCCCTAGGCTTTCTTAACTTTTTTAACTCACTCCAAAAATTTTTCTTATTTTCATTAAAATTTCTTGACAGTGCCTCTCCCACTCTTTCATCTGCTCTCCTTTTGCACTCTCTCACCACTCTCATGTCGTTCACATATACCAAAATTAGCACTGGTTTGGGGTGTGTGTGTGTGTGTGTGTGTGGTTGGTATTTTGTTGTATGTGGGGTATGTGTTTTTGTATGTGTGTATGTGTGTGTATGTGTGTGCATGTGTGTGCATGTGTGTGCATGTGTGTGTATGTATGTATGTGTGTGTGTGTGTGTGTGTGTGTGTGGTGTGTGGGGTGTTTTGGTGTGTGTGTGTGTGTGTGTGTGTGTGTGTGTGTGTGTGTGTATGTGTGTGTGTGTGTGTGTGTGTATGTGTGTGTGTGTGTGTATATATATATATATATATATATATATATATATATATATATATATATATATATATATATATATATAATATATATATTTTTTTCAACAAGTCGGCCGTCTCCCACCGAGGCAGGGTGACCCAAAAAAAGAAAGAAAATCCCCAAAAAGAAAATACTTTCATCATCATTCAACACTTTCACCACACTCACACATTATCACTGCTTTTGCAGAGGTGCTCAGAATATAACAGTTTAGAAGCATATACATATAGAGATACACAACATATCCTCCAAACTGCCAATATCCCAAACCCCTCCTTTAAAGTGCAGGCATTGTACTTCCCATTTCCAGGACTCAAGTCCAACTATATGAAAATAACCAGTTTCCCTGAATCCCTTCACTAAATATTACCCTGCTCACACTCCAACAGATCGTCAGGTCCCAAGTATCATTCGTCTCCATTCACTCCTATCTAACACGCTCATGCACGCTTTCTGGAAGTCCAAGCCCCTCACCCACAAAACCTCCTTTACCCCCTCTTTCCAACCCTTTCGAGGACGACCCCTACCCCTCTTTCCTTCCCCTATAGATTTATATGCTTTCCATGTCATTCTACTTTGATCCATTCTCTCTAAATGACCAAACCACCTCAACAACCCCTCTTCCGCCCTCCACACCTTCTCCTAATTTCCACACTCCGAATTTTCTGCATAATATTTACACCACACATTGCCCTTAGACAGGACATCTCCACTGCCTCCAACCGTTTCCTCGCTGCTGCATTTACCACCCAAGCTTCACATCCATATAAGAGTGTTGGTACTACTATACTTTCATACATTCCCTTCTTTGCCTCCATAGATAACGTTTTTTGACTCCACATATACCTCAACGCACCACTCACCTTTTTTCCCTCATCAATTCTATGATTAACCTCATCCTTCATAAATCCATCCGCCGACACGTCAACTCCCAAGTATCTGAAAACATTCACTTCTTCCATACTCCTCCTCCCCAATTTGATATCCAATTTTTCTTTATATATATATATATATATATAATAAATATATTATATATATATATATATATATATATATATATTATATAATATATAATATATAATATATATATAATATATATAATTTTTTTTTTTTTTTCAACAAGTCGGTCGTCTCCCACCGAGGCAGGGTGACCCAAAAAAAAGAAAGAAAATCCCCAAAAAGAAAATACTATATATATAAATAAAAATAATACTCACTTGATCCACTTGCGTTGAGGGTCAAGTAAGTTCATAAGCTTGTCTGCATAAACCTTCTTACTGGCAGTGAATAAGATTACTTCATATAAGTGAGATACATGCTCCAAGAATTCCCGAAAATACGGGCGGGTGCGTACAAACACTTGATAGTTGACATCTTGAAAAACCACCGGGAAGCTTAATGTTGCATCCTCCAACTCCTGAAGACTACAGTGCACCAGTGTTTCATCCTGAAAGTTAAAAATGCATGTCTATGTTAAAAGTATAAATTTCAAAATTTGCCGCATTGTAACTTGGAATCAATTAACACAGATAATTCTTCTTTATAAATAGTTTTACACCTCCATGGGGAAGTGAAACAGAATTCTTCCTCCATAAGCCATGCGTGTTGTAAGAGGCAACTAAAATGCCGGGAGCAAGGGGCTAGTAACCCCTTCTCCTGTATATATTACTAAATGTAAAAGGAGAAACTTTTGTTTTTCCTTTTGGGCCACCCCACCTCTGTGGGATACGGTCGGTGTGTTGAAAGAAAGAAAGAAATAGTTTTACAATGATAATTTTTTTTACATCCATTTGTGGTCATAAACTCATTCTACAAAGTGCATCTATATTACAAGAGGATTCCATTTGTACACCTCTTAGCTTCCTGACCCTGTGTGGCAAGTTGAATGTGTTTAAAACACCTGATAATGTGTTTACACTATCATATAATAAGTGCTCAATAGAACTAGGCATAGTAAAAAAAACAAATAAAAAAATTAAATAAATACATAGCACATTCAATACTTACCTTAAAATATGACGCTGGTCGCCCTTTCCTTAAACAACTGCACGAAAAACAGCAGAAAAGTGGTAAAAGTACCGAACATAATAAACAATAGCTCAACTGAAAACCAACGAAAACATGGAACACTGAAAAGAGGGTGCCGAATACGTGGGGCCCTCCTGTATATGGGATTATTATGGGTCAACTTCATTATTTTTAAGAGAATGCTCATATCCGTTTCTCTAATATGTATTTATAATTATAACAAAGAACTTAGTTCACTAATTAAATATATACATTTCATAAGGATGTATGAATATTAGTGATTACAACTATGTATATATAGTCCTACTGTGGTAACTATCTGCTGATCCTTGACCTTCCCACAGATAAGAACAAGATCATTATATTATTCCTAATCACTTAGGAATTAACAATGTCTCAGATTATACAGGTCGGCCATCACTAATCTGGCATCACTGGGACCTCTAGGGTGCCAGATTAGTGATTCTGCCGGATTACAGAGTAGTTAGGTTAGAATACACTTAATAAAGTTAACCAACTTAACTTACACAAGAAAGTTCATCACTTTTGCTTCCAAAGTGAATAGCTGAAATTTACAACTAAACACATTTACATGTCTTGAGGTGAAGGGCTGTCAGGATTGCCATCTTTTTCATCTTGGAAGGTGACTGAGATATCAGGAACTGATGATGATAGTGGCAGCACATCAGGCTGAGCAGATGTTGAAGGCACTAGATTTTCAAGTGGTGACTCCTCTGTTGCAACCTGAGCTTTTTCATACATTTTGGCCTTTCTCTGATTAGTTTAGCCTGCAGCATGTAAACATTCATTATTTCTTATTCACTTACAAAACCACGTTGCTCTAGACCTTTTAGCACTAGAACTTTTTCCTTCCTTTCTTTGTTAGCAAAGAAACTCAGCAATTTTTTTTCTGTTTCTTTATGTCATAAACTGTTGAAGAGCCAATGCTGTATAACTCGCACAAATTTCTCACAGACACACCGCTGTCAAGCTTTTTCAGAAGTTCAACCTTATCTGTTATGGACAATGTACGGTGTTTGCGCTTTACACAACAAGAAACATTTCTTTTATTCGCTGGAACCATGGCTAGGGCTAAAAGTGAGCAGGTTTTACCAATAAATGGAGAGAAAAACAAATTGGAATGACTTCTGTTGTAAATAGTGCCACCAAACAGTAACAGCAGGTTGGTGCGGAGAACCCCAGAAATTTTAACCCTTTCACTTTTGCTTTCCATTTCATTATTATAATCAAGAAGGAGCACTAAACCCATAGGATTATGCAGTGCCTGTGGGGGGGATGTGGAAGGTATTCAGGCTTAATTCAGGGAGCCGGAGCACAGATCCAATTCCCTAGATCAAGAGCCCCTCACCAAAATCAAGGAACCTTCCTTGAGGGTTTTCCATTTTGAGTTTTTATTCACACAAAAAATAGAATATTTACTGTTATGCAGACTACTTAATTATTGTAAAAAATGGTAAATAATATCAGCGCATTTGTGAAAGCATATTAGACCCACCAGTTGACGTGTATTGGATGCATGACATAATTTGTTTACATTGAACATCAGTAAAAATAGAATATTTCTGCTACTTTGAGCTCAATTTCAAGGTACTTTCCATCGTGAAACCAATCAAAATCATATCTACTATGTAAGAAACATGTTACACAGCTTATAAACACGATACATACACCCACAGTATGATACATTTCACATAAATATGAGAAGTGGTAGCCGGGCAGAGGGGAAAAATTACGTTTTCTCTGGTCCAGCACCAAGAAAATGTTTATCAATCTGACTTTGACCCAGTCACTCCCCTTAACGCATTCGGCTTTGTTTATAATTCTCGGCATGACTTCTCTTCATTTATGATGGCATCTAAAGGTAGTTGTTAGAAATTATTAAACTCGGTGAACATGTTAAGTCAATGTGCAGCTTTAAATATCATATGGCTATGTAGCCTGCCTGGGCTACACAGTTACACCTACCGGGTACCTACATCTGACTTCCTACAAATAAATACTACTCACCTCTCACCTTACGGATTATACATATTTTAAGTTAAGTAATGAATGTACTGTTGCAGTTTTTTTTCATTATGCACTGCATGCAGCAGGATTATTTTTATATAGTCCACACTTACTACACAGACTTATTCTGTCATATGTTGACCCAAATTTACCAGTCACAGCTTGTGTGAGTGAGCTGAGCTCACGGCAACCTCCAGTGGCTTCAAGTCACCTTATCTTTTATGGACAATGTACGGTATATGTGCTTTACACAACATGAAGCATTTCTTTTATTCACTGGAACCATGGCTAGAGTTAAAAGTAAGCAGGTTATAACAATAAATGGAGAAAAAGAAATTGGAATGACTTATGCAGCAAGTAGCGCCACCAAACAGTAGCGGCAGGTTGGTGTGGCGACCCCATAAATTTGAAATTATGCTAGCTGAAATTAGTGCCGGATTACTGATGGAACCAGATTACTGACTGCCGGATTAGTGATGGCTGACCTGTACTGTCTTAAAAGTATTTAATTTTCCTTCCATTTTCTCTTGTGGATGACTGTTTTCTTTTGTTATTGTGTAAGGCATGCAGTCTTAAAACACCATAAGTAAGAACAGCTGGTGGCAGGCTCTATGGTTCATTGAAACCTACACAGAAAATAGATTTTCCTTCTTGAAAATGTACAGTATTTTGTTTGGATTTTGATGAACTGTATGAAAATTTTACCACCAATGCCTAAAATCAATGTGGAAGCAGCTGCAAATCTCTCAAGAGATGGTAAACATAAAGTGCATTAGCACTCTCAAATGGTAAGCTTGTGTGAATTAGTGAATTAGTCAGCACAAAGACTGATGACTAATGCATCTGATCCTCTGTCCAATAATCGTGAGACAAATACACTTCTGAACTGAACTCATAGAAATTCGTAACATGTTTAACTCAAAGACTAAAAACCCAAGTACATGAAAGCTCCATTAGACAGAGTGCAACTTCAAAGGTTCTTTTATTACAGGCCCTAAGCAAAGTCCAATATCTTATGTTAGGCACTGGCATAAGTTCACCTCCCAGGTAGGAATACCCACTCAAGCTAAACACCAAATGCAAAGGAATAATAGCAGTGCAGGTTAATCTGGCAAACAAAGGGTCATTCAGAAGCCTAGACAAGCACTCTCTTAAAACACACTTAACCTCCAACAACCAACCTATTCTTGAATGTGCTGCACTGATGTGCACTGACTGGTACCCAAGCTGAAGGAAATGAGCAGTGAATAATGTCAGAACTAGGCCTTATCTCCCTGGAGGAGTGAAAAACATGAAATATACAAGGTACAGACAGGGTAGAGAAGAATAATGTCTTTACATGGGAGGCAATAAGAACAGGGGTGCATGACTGGAAATTATACAACAAATGAATCACGGATATTACAAAGTATTTCATGAATGTAAGTGTGGTACATAAGTAGAATGAGTTGAGCAGTGACACAGCAGAAATGAACTTCAAACAGGACTTCAAAATAGATACAACAAGGCTCAATCATGTTAGTCAGTCTTAAGTTAAGCAGTGGGACCAAGAGCTTTAGTTCACAGCAAACTCAAATCATACTGACAACACACAGTACAATAGTATTAGTATAGATTCAATAATGCCAGGCTTAAGAAACCATTTGACTAGTCTTATTTGACCTCTTTGAACAGTTAATAATCTTGAAGTTAATGATGAGCTTGGGGAAAGTGATCACAATTCACTTAGTTTCAATATATCAAGGAATTACCCAGATAACTGCAATAAAGTCTCTGTCTGAGATTTCCGCTTGGCCGACTTTATGGGACTGAGAAATTACATGAGTGGGCTAAATTGGGATGACCTTACTATGGGTCAGGTAGGTAGGGTTCGTGGCTTTCTTGATACGGTTCAGTATTGCTTTTTAGAACAGGTTGTGACAGAACCAACTAGAGGAAACAATCTGCTTGACTTGGTTCTTGCCAACAAAGATTCACTAATTAATAATCTTGAGGTTAATGATGAGCTTGGGGAAAGTGATCACAAATCACTTAGTTTCAATATATCATGGAATTGCCCAGATAACTGCAATCAAATCTCTGTCCTGGATTTTCGCCCGTCCGACTTCATGAGACTGTAATATTACCTGGGTGGGCTAAATTGGGATGTCCTGACTATGGGTCAGGTAGGTGATCTTGGTTGCCAATATGACGTTTTACAGAGCATAGTTCTAGCTACCCAGACAACTTTTGTTACGAGTAGGAAAATTAGATCTAACAAAAATGATCCCAAATGGATGAACAATAGATTAAAACATCTAAGTGATCAAAAGAAAGGCATATATAGGTGTATCAAAAGAGGTGATGGGCAGTTAAGAAATCAATATATTCAATTAAAGAGATAAATAAAGA